GCGTGCATACGTATGCACACAGACACACACACACACAGAGGAAGGGGTGTGGCTTTTTCCACTTCACTCTATCTCAGAATAGTAAATAAAAAAAGACTTTAGGATTTTCCCATTGATAGTTACCTTATTCTTCTTTTTCAGAAATAGTTTTATACTCCACTTATCTATTTCTAGCCAGGGACTGCTGTAACCAAATCTACTAAACAACAATAACAACAACAATAACAAAAGGAAGATGATTATTTGAAGCTAAACATTTAGAATCTCTAAACGTCTTTTATAGTTGTAGGCAATGAAAAAGAGAAACAGGTGGAGAATGCAGTTATACTATCCAGAATACATCATGACAATGGAAGCAGGGAACACGAGGGCTGGAGGAGGCTGGGGAGATGGAGGACAGTGGAAGGGATTCATTGATCAAAATGCATACTCCTAGCCTGACAGGTTGAACTGAGAGCCCTTGGCACATCTACTTAGAATACAAAAACACATTTAAGAAAAAGAAACAGTTTTCATGAGCTGTCTTCCAGCTCTAAGCTTAAGTAGTTATTCCTTTTGTGATGTAACAGTTAGAAAAAAGCACATGATGCTTTTTAGTGGTAAATAATTCTGTACAATATAGTTAATGTTGAAATAGAACATGACCCATGAAGGTAGTGTTTTAGATAAAACTGATTTTAATTGTGAAAATACCATACAGAGGAGTTACAATTACATGGGCAAGATAATGAGTACATTTCTTATCAAGCATTGTTGCCTCCTCCTTTGTTTCCCCTTCCCATCCCTTCCCATCTCCCCCCCCCCATACCCCCCCAAGCGGATCTTTATCATTTAAAAATAGTCAGGGAAAACTATATGATTACATCTCTAGTTGGAATACTGTGGTTTTGTTTTTTTTAACTGTATTTATGTATTTTTTTTTTGGTCTTTTCTTTTTTGGTACTGGTCATTGAACCCAGGACACTGCACTTTCTAGGCAAGTGCTTAACCACTGAGCTACATCCCAGCCCTATTTGGAATACTTTGAATAGAAATAGAAATATTTGCAAATTCATTTTTGTACAGTTTATGGGGTCTGGATCTTCAGTGCTCTCTCTCCTGGTCCTGTCTGTCTTCTTGGTGAGCTGATAACTTAGTCCCGAAAATACATTGTTGGCTGACAAGGCAATTTGAAGACCCAAATAAGATTCTCTTTGACATGCCATTTCTAATTGTGACTTGCAGTTACAAGGAACCTTCCCATCAATGAAAACTATATCCTCAAACCTAATGAGAGATCACTGAAGAAAATTAAAACACATACAACAATATCAATTTTATGTTTGAAAAGAGGCTGTTTCAATACAAATTCATATTGTAGGTGAATATGAGATCTTGTTATTTTCATTCTGTGAGTGTGTGTGTGTACTGGGGCTTGAACTCAGGGCCTAGGCACTGTCCCTGAATTTTTGTGCTCAACAATAGCACTCTACTACTTGAGCCACAGCTCCACTTCCAGCTTTTTTGGTGCTTAATTAAAGACCAGAGTTTTATGGACTTTCCTGCCCAGAAAGTCCTTTGAATTGTGATCCTCAGATCTCAGCCTCCTGACTAGCTAGGATTATAGCTGTGAACCACTTGTGTCTGGCTTATTATATTTTTTAGAGGCTTTCTTTATCCAGCCCTGATGTAATTCCAAATGCAACTTCGGTTTGTTTTTTTTTTAAATCAATGTTCAGACATTTCAAAATCCAATATGGGAAAACAAAAACTAAACGATTTCAACAAAATTGCTTGCTAATGTAAAGAAGATTTTTTTATCCTACTTTGAATTGAAAAATCCATACTACAATTCACCAATGATTTAAAAGTCTAGGGTTTTGTTAAAGGCAGAAGTCTTGATATGTGCTATCTAGAAAAAGAAAGATTTTCTCCTCACAGTATATATATCTATATCTATCTATCTATCTATCTATCTATCTATCTATCTATCTATCTATCTATATATATATATATATAATTTACCCAGTTATCCTCATTGCATCATGAGCTACTGCTTGGTTCATGTCTAAATAGACACAAATTCTACAGCTTGTAGAGAAGCAAAAAAGCATGCTTCTTCCTTATTTTTGTGTGTGTGTATGCAAAATATCACGTTATTCAGGATTGTAAAAACTTTGGTAAGTATTTCTATCTTAATCGCCTGTTAGCTTTTACAAAACAGGTAATGGTTGGGCTTTTGAGTTGCAAAATCTCCACAAATAATATCACAAATTAGAAAGAATTTGGGGTTTTATTTCCAGTGTTATTTTTTGGGGGAGATTATGTCACAAGGGAAGATAAAGAGATTATTTACAAAAACCACATCAGTAAATCTCATTTTTACAACATATTATTGTTTGTCATATATGATATGGTATTAGCAAGAAAAGTGCCATTTTTGATAAACTTTCTGAATTTTGTTTTAAATAGGAACTGTAACGTTATCATCTCTTCATATCAAGAGACGTTTTTTCCCTGCAGTTAATCAGAAGTGACGGATTGGCCTGAGATTTTTTTTCTTTTTGGACATAAGGGTTGGATTCACCAGTCTTTTGAAACTTGTGATTATCTAACAACGGTTCACTAAGTTCGAATGTGCCCTTTTTACGAAAAAATTGCACTTGTAGAACTTTTAGAGGCAACCCCACAATTTTAGAGGTTGCTTATTTACACTAGTCCAAAGGGTAACGTTTTCCAAGCGGCAAGGACATAAAGGGAAGGGTGAAGCACGGTGGGGGAAATCCTGCTCCGGGTTTTGGGGCCGCCCGCGTGATTGACGTGTGATATCACAGGGGGCGTGTCCTGGAGGTGGAGACCGGGAGCTGAAATTGCGCCCGGGCGCGCTGGCTCGGCGAGGCGCACGCACGGCCCCTGCAGCGGGCGACTGCGGCCGGTGTAAATGTGCCCGAAAAGCCAGTTCCAGTCTTTGCATCAGGTAAGAGCTGCTTCCTCCCTTCCTCTCCGCAGGAAAGACCGGAGGTGAGGACCGGTGGTGTTTGCACCTTTCTTTTAAGATTATGGTTGCATTTGCAAACACCGCCACATTCCCGCGGCCAGCGGCCCCTGAAGCCGATCCTACGGGAAGCCAAGAGAGAGAGAGTGAACGAGTCGGTGCCACTTCTTTTTCCTTAACCGAACCAACCACGAGTTTACCGTGTGGAGCGCTGGGGCGAGTGAGGCGCGGGGCGGCTGGCACCGCGTCGGGGCTGGCGCGGCGGTGGGGACGGAACGCGGGTCGTTCCGGCGTGGCTAGGACCCGATCCCCCGCGGAGCAGTGGTTTAAAACCGGATTTTCTTGTCTCGGTGGTGGATCGATTTCCAGTGCGCACGGGGCGTTGCTGGAACGTGGTTCGAACTCTAAGAAGATAAAGCTGCAAACGCGGCTTGGGTTAAAAAAAAAAAAATCAAAACAAAAAACCCCTAAACGTGCCAGACGGCATGTTGTCGGGTTCGCGGCGGACACGCGGGCCGCGCGCCGGCCTGTCAATCACGGCCTGTCAATCACGGGGAGCGCACGGCTGCGGGCCGGGGCGGGGGCCGCGGGCCTGGCGGGGTGGGCCCATGAGAGCGGGGAAACTGAACGGCTTTCCACCTCCGATCTCCCGCAGCTGGCGCTCGGCGGAGGCCCCGCAGCGGCGGACGACCGGGTCGCCGCGGTGCCCGGGAGAGGCTGATTGCGCGGATCGGAGTTCCGAGGGACACTTCGCCGCCCCAACTTGCGGGGTCTGGAGAGCGCCTCAGCCTGCGCGGGGGCCCGGGACGACGCCCGCCCACCTCCCGGAGATGGACCCCAGGACGGCGCCCGCACCCTAGCCAACCCCTCCCTGTCGCCGTACCCCGCGCCCCGGGCAGGCCTGCGCGCACCGGCACCCCGACGCCGGTTCGAGCCTCGGCCCCGGCCCTACGAAAGCTCAACACCCGTGACGTGGATTTTCCACCGGCCGGGAGATCACCACCCTTTCCGCGAGGAACGGTCGGGAGTGGAGCCGCGCTCGGTCCTCGAGGGCAGCGTGCCCGTCGGGTGGCCGGTCACGCGCCCCTCGCCGTGCTCCGCACCGCGTTCCCGGGAACGTAGCGAATTGTGCAAAGCTGGGCCGGCGGGGGAGCAGCCTCCCGGCCAGTGCAATCGCGCGGGCCGGCCTGAAAGAGGCAGCCCAGCGGAGGCCGGGGCCGGAGAGGCGCGGGCCGACTCGCCGCCGCTCGGGCGATGCCTCGTCGTTGAAGCGGGCGCGCTCGCCTTGGCGCCCCGCCACCGCCCGGGCCTAGAGGTGAGTGTGCGCAGGCGGGGCGGGGCTGAGCAGGGCGTGCCCGCGCGGCAGGTGCGGGGCCCGCGGCGGAGGGGAGGGAGGGAGGCGGGGCGCGGGCGCCTCTGGGAGGCTGTCCGACCCCCGCGCGCAGCTCACCCGCTCCCCCTCCGTGCACGATCCGGGGGTGCAGGACGACGAGGCAGGGTCTCCTGGGGGAAGGGGAGCCCGCTCCTACCCAAACACGGGTCGTGGAGGCGCTGGGGGAGCCCCCAGGCCCCTCCAAGGAACTTCTTGGCATGTGCCACCGAAGACTTTCGGTACGGATTTGTGCCCGCAGACCTGTACGTGTGCCCGCGCGCGCGCGCACGTGTCCTCGAGTGCGCGCGGAGGGAGGCGGACCCCGGGGCGCGCTCGGCGACCCCCGACCCCGCGCCCGCGCGCGCCCCGACTGGCGTCCACTTTCTTGTGGTTTCGGAGCCCGGCGAGGGCGCGCGGGCGGCAGCGAGGGCGCTGCCGCTTTAACCGTGGGGCGTCCGCCCCCTGAGGTAATGGTAACCTCAGCCTGGCCCGCCTCCCGCCCCAGAGAACTTGTTTTCATTCATAACTTTTTCCTTCTGCTTCCTCTCCAGCCAGCTATTTATTCCCGGTGCCTCGCGCGCCTCGCACCGGGCTCCGCGCCACCGCCGTAACTCGCGGAGCGGCGGCCTGGGGAGGAGTTCGGACCGACGGACAGAGGCCCGCAGTCGGACCCCAGGATCGGCCTTCCCAAGTTCGCCCAGCCGTGCGCACGGGGTGCAGGACCCCCACCGCGGTCCTGGGCATGTGATGGGGTCGTCCGGAAAGGTAGCTCTGGCCCAGGGCGGAGTTGGGGGGACTCCTGGGGCTGGGCGCGCTCCGGGCACGGATGGGGCGCCTGCATGGCTGGGGAATGGCGCTTCCTTCCCCTGGGAGCCGGCTGATTCTGTTATTTATTTATTTACTCCTGGCAGCGTGAACTTCGTTACTACTCTCATTTAAAGTAGAATGAAGGTTACTGTGTTGTCCGCAGCCCTTCCCACACTTTCATTTCCTGTGGACTAGGATTCAGAGCTTTTAAATACACCCTTTGCTTTCAAAGCACAGGGGTAAAACGTGGAGGATAACTACGTTTTGCGCAGGAGTCTTTTCTGTCTCTTCTTTCTCTCCTTCCTTCCTTCCTTCCTTCCTTCCCCTTTTCTTTTTCTTTGTTCATAAAAACTCAGGACTAAATCCATCAGATTTAGAGTGTATTGATTGAAAAAAAAAGTGTATTGATTGCCCTTAAGCTGGGCATCAGTGGCTCATGGCCGTAATTCAAGCATTTCAGGTGGCTGAGATCTGACATCAGGCTGAAGCCAGATGGGCAGGAAAGCCCTTGAGAATCGAGTCTCCAATTAATCATACATACATACACACAAAAGTGGAGTGGCTCAAGTGGCAGAGTGCCTTGACCAAAAAAGCTCAGGGACAGCTCCCAGCTCCTGAGTTTTAAGTCACCCCTCCCCCCCCCCCCCCCACACGAGTATTTTCCTTTTTTTGTGTGGGAAGCACTGCAGTGGAGGGAGATCTAAGAGGTTAACATAAAGGACAGGAGCCAGGCACATTCCTTAACAGGACTTACCTGCTTTGTGCTTTAAGAGGAACTTTCAGTTATGTGTGTTTTTGATTGGTTTTGGGTTTTTATTTGTCTCTTCCTCCCCACCCCCTCCCAGAGTAAGAGTGGGGAATGGGCTCCCCCCACCTTCTTTCCAATCCTAAAATGAGTTGTTGTGTGGGCCTTTTTAAGGAATGTTGACCAGAAATGGAAATTGTCTTGTTTTCGGAAGACTATAGATTAGAAATAATTTGCTGTTCACATGAAAACACAAATGCTTGTTTTGATCAAAATATTATTGTGACAAGCAGCACATTGATTTGGCAGTGTTTTGGTCTTTCATATAAATACAGATTTTTAAAGGGAAGGATACATAGATAGTTAAAATGGCTGGGATTTCCCAACTGTCTTATAAGGCCCAATATTTGTGCACAAAAGTTAATCTTGTGATGTGAATGAGTCCTCAAACTTCTAAGGTAAATGTATGGTTTTAGGCATGAATCTTCTTGTAATAGTCACGAAAAAGTCCAGTAGATTCTGTAGTATGTGTTTTGGTTGCCAGTAAAACACCAAAAACTATTGTATTCCTCATTTTTTTTTCATGTTATAGATGAGTAACAAGCTAGTTTCAGAATTGTGATTTCAGCTGAAAAACGACCTCTTGCATTGTGATCCCATTTTGGCTTGGAATGCCTTAACTATTTCTTGAAAAAATGCCTTGATTTTTTTCTTTTCTTAAAGCTGAAGTTTGTCATAGCATGCAAATAACAAAAGAGGCAAAACCACCCAGAGTCATTCCTGATTTTTCAAAAGTGGTAGACCATTTTTGTAGATGAAAACTACCAAGGAGTTGACACTGAACCTCATGTGGATGAAAGTTGCCCACAAAGGCATAGTTCATTTTAATTATTTGTTAGATTCACAAACAGGAAGACATAACTTCCTCTCGATTCTGCAGACTCTACACGCTGGAGTCACTTCTCGTTTTTATGACAGGGGGTCTTTTGCTTACATTCTTCTATGAGAGAGTCCACAGCTCCTCTTGCACTTGGACTCTGGCCAGGAGCCCAGCAGCGCTGTAATCTGCTGATGGAGAGCTCCCCGGCAGGTAGTTTCGGCAGTTCGTGATTTCATAAGATGAATCCCCGCCTTTTTCCTTTTCTCTCTCTGCAGGGGGAAAAAAAATCCTTCCTGTCCTTTATTTTCTGTGGATTTTCTTTTCATATTTGGTGTCTTTGTCTTACTTTCTTTTTTTTTTTTTTTTAGGATTTCAGATGCACACCAGGTTTCCACTGAGTGCCAGAATTCCAGATCCCTACACATGGATCCTTTAAATCTGCATGGCAGGTCGTTTGTGGCGATCCAGCAGCCTGCCGTGGAGGGCCGGCTGAGACTAGACTATGGTAGAGAGAACCAGCCTGCTGCCATTCTTTCCTTGGACCAGATCAAGGCTATCCGGGGCAGTAACGAGTACACGGAAGGGCCTTCTGTGGTCAAGAGACCTGCTTCCCGCCCACTGCCACGACAAGAAAAGCAGGAGAGGACGCATGAAATTGTACCAGTTAATGTGAACAGTGGCTCCGAGCAGAGACCTGCAAGCCACCTGGGGCCTGGTGGACCCCCAAGTAATGCCAGGGGTCTCATTTTGAGCAGATCTACCAGCACCGGAAGTGCAGCGAGCTCTGGGAGCAGCAGTAGTGCCTCTTCTGAGCAAGGACTCCTGGGAAGGTCACCACCCACTAGGCCCATCCCTGGCTATCGGGCTGACAGGGCTATCCAGATCCAGCCTAAGCAACTGCTTGCGGATGACTTGAAAGGTTCCTTGAAGGAAGACTTGACTCAGCACAAGTTCATCTGTGAACAGTGTGGGAAGTGCAAATGCAGAGATTGCACGGCTCCCAGGACCCTTCCTTCCTGTCTGGCCTGTAACCGACAGTGCCTGTGCTCGGCTGAGAGCATGGTGGAATATGGCACCTGTATGTGTTTGGTCAAAGGCATCTTCTACCACTGCTCCAGTGACGATGAAGGTGATTCGTACTCGGACCATCCTTGCTCGTGTTCCCAGTCGCACTGCCGCTCTCGATTCCTGTGTATAGGAGCCATGTCTCTCTTCTTGCCCTGCCTGCTCTGTTACCCTCCAGCCATGGGATGTCTGAAGCTCTTCAGAGGCTGTTACGATTGGCTCCACCGTCCAGGGTGCAGGTGTAAGAACTCCAATACAGTGTATTGTAAGCTGGCAAGTTGCCCTTCTCGGGGTCAGGGGAAGCCATCATGAATTTTGGAGGTGGGTGGGACCTCCTGAACTTCCAGCTTTTGAATGGTGGCTGTTGGGGGAAAAAAAGAAAAAAAAATCCTATTAGATGCTCATCTCCCTCACACAAACACACGTCTCTCTTTAGAGTTGCTCCTTTGTCTCCTGCTTGCTCTCCCTGTAATTTCCAAGGTTTGGCTCATGGATCTTACTGTTCAGGAAGAGTTTACGGTGAAATGACTTCTGGAGAGGGGATGGAGAGCTAGTGGGGTTCGGGTAGTTTCTTGGTTCTGCAAGCAGCTTTTTCCAGTTGTACACATCAGCACACACGCACACAGCCAGACTGCAGTGATTGAAAGATGTCTTTGGTTGGATGTTGGGGAGCAGGGAGATTGGTTTTGAAAGAAGCAACCATTTAATTGCTTAACTGAGCTATGTATTGAATCTTCCTCCAATTCCAGTGATCTTCAGCGTATTGGATGGATATCTTGTTATAATACAAACTTTGGTTCTTTAACTGCAGCCCTCTCCTTTTCATCTCTTCTCTGTTGTCTTGGCAATGTTTTAGTCTTGAATGCTGTATGCCCCCCCACCCCCATTTCCTTTCTGTGTAATTTTAGATTCTCTTTACAATGTAAGTCTTCATATTGGAGACAAATTGGTTATAATTTGCTTCTTCTTCTGGCTTTCAACTTTGAGAAGGATTTGACTCCCTTCCTTCCACACCCACAAGCTCTTTGCCAAATTTCTGTTGTCATGGAAGGCACTTGGATCACTGAGGTTGAAATTTAGAGCTGGTGGATTATTGTCAGTGTCACAGAACATTGCTGCCTAAAGTAATCGTAGCTTGTGAATGGCCCTTTTGGTCCCATGGTTGGTTAACAACTGAGTTATCTCAATCTTCCCTGTGTTCCCCTCGCCTTAACCACAAATTGTGGTGCTTTTTTTTTTCTTTTGTATATGTTATGTATAAATCACAAAGTTGAATTCTGACTATTTTTAAGACAAGAGTCTGTTAAACTTTTTTATTGTAAAGAATATTTATTATGCGAATCTATTATTTTATGATATTTATTGCAAAAGACTGTTGAAATGTACTCATGTCTGACTATAATAAAATATCAATACTTAACGGAAAGTAAGGTGACAGGAAGAAAGTACATATGTTAACTATAATGCGAAAATATATTAATTAATGAAACTGCCTTCTGATTTCTTCATTTATTAGCCTTAACTAAAACACTGTTGTTTCTCTTTGCTTTGACTCTTTTTCCCCCATAGACTACTTTCCCTCAAGATATGGAGTCTAATATACTTTCCAGGAAACATAGTCTCTCATTTGAGGTTATATGTTCCTAGAAAGTATATTTGTTGATATTTTTAAATTTAGGTTCTGTTTCATCTAATGCCTAAATGAATTACTTTATAAAAATGAATTTTTTATTAGAATGCTAACAGTCACTCCCTTCTTTTGAACTATTTTCTAAGCATGTTTTGTTTGTATCTTAGTTTCTTGCAACGGGCAAAGCTACACGTTTTCTTAAAACATGCTTATCTTACCTTTCTTGTAGTAGTCAGAAATAAGTCTTCATTAACATGATCTAAAGAATTCAGTTCTGCAGATGTGGTGAAAGTCTGGTATTTTCATGTGAATCAAGCACTTTGAATGGACCAGAGGAATTGTTCCTATTGTCAGATGTTTAAAAACCATTCCCATACTCCTTTTTGTTTAATAAGTCTTCAGTGTGATCCGATCAAATTCTAATTCTTCACATACAGCGGAATAAGACATGATACGAAAGTAAATATTTGGATTCCTTATTTTTTAGTCTGCTAAAGCCACTGCACAGTTTGAGTCTTTGGGCCTGATACCAAGTTTGTTCCATGGAGTCCACAAATGAGTGTCACAGCTTTTAGAACCATCTTATCCTTAATTATTTGCATGTGGGAAACAAGATGCTGATATAATTTGAACCTCAGTTATCAAGACTTTTAACTTTTTGTTTGGGTCATTACTCGTTGGTGATTTGGCTGTTAATTTAGGAACATTTATTCTTTATAAGTAGGCTATGACTTTTACACAGCTGAGGTATAATTAAGAGAAACTTGTTTTAATGCTTTCTCTTCTAGCCAATAAACTTGTTAGTTGGCATTGTGACATTAGATGAGCCAACTCTACTCCAAAAGCCAAAGAACTTTTAAAAATGAATACTAGATTATTTCATAACTTAACGCCGCTTAAAATGTGAGCTTCAGTATTTATCTGAATTTTTATTGTTGATCTCTTGGTATTATGGAATTCCCTCTTCTTATGCCATAGTGGGGCTTGAATTCAGGGCCTCATGCTCTTGGCATAGCTCTTTCTGCTCAATCTATCACTTGAGTCACAACTTCTGTTCAGTAAAATGGAGATGAGTCTCACAGGCTTTTCTGCCTAGGCTGGCTTTGAACCTTTATCCTCAGATCTCAGTCTCCTGAGTAGCTAGGATTACATGAGTGAGTCACCAGATTATGGGTATGAGCCACTAGCACCCGGATTATAGTATTTTCTTAAGATTTGATTCTCAATGAAATATATAAACACAGGCATCTGCTCTCAAAATACTGTGTGGCTGCTTCTCTTTATTTAGATCCTTGGTTATAATTAGCAGTTGGTGGAAGAACTGTCTGTAGCTATAATAATCAAGTGAGGCAGGAGCTTTTATTGAAAGTAATTTATAACTCCCAAGGGTGAGAGATGCTGTGTGTGTGTGTGTGTGTGTGTGTGTGTGTGTGTGTGTGTACGTGCATGCGAGTATATGCCAGTACTGGAACTTGAACTCAGCCATGTGGGCACTCTCCCTGAGCTTTTTTGCTCAAGGCTGGGTTACTGCCACTTGAGACACCTCCACTTCTGGCATTTTGGTGGTTATCTGAAGAGATAAGTGTCAAGGACTTTTCCTGCCTGGGTGGCTTTGAACTTTGATCCTCAGATCTGAGTCTCCTAAATAGCTGGGATTACAGATAGGAGGCATTGGCGCCTAATTTTTGTCTCTGCCCAGAATTCATTAGGATTATGATAGCACAAAGGTGTCTGCTGTTTCCCAGGAGCTGTCTGTCCTTGGGGTGAGGTCGGGTCTGTACTTGGCTGGGAGCACTTGGCTAGGAGCATATGGAGAGAGGTTCAGATTTTTTATTGGAAATGTGATGTACAGAGGTGTTTCATAAATAAGGTAATGAGTACATTTCTTTAGAACAGTGTTATCCCCTTTCTCATTTTCTCCCACTCTCCCCTCATCCCCTCCCCCTAGTAAAGTTCCTTTCCAGCATAGTGTCTAGTGAGTATCACTGTTGCATTGGTTCACCCTCTGTCCCACCATTTCTGTGATCCTCTTCCCTTCTCAAATCAGAAAACTTGATGTACAAGACAGTGGGTACAGAAATAAAAAACGGTGTCAACAGGGAATAAACCAAAGGGAGGCGGGGAGGATAGTACATTTAGGGATAGGGGATAGACTGGCAAAGGTGGAAACTTCCTAAATAAAGATCCAGAAACACAACAACTCAAAGAAAGGCTGGATACATGGGATCACATTAAACTGCAGAGCTTCTGCATGGCCAAGGACATAGTCAGCAGGATAAATAGCCCACAGATTGGGAGAAGATCTTCACTAGCCATACATCAGACAAGGGCCTCATATCTAATATATTCTTAGAGGTTCAGATTTCTAAGGGCTCCTCAAGTGGCAGGATGTAAACTCATTAATTCAAAACTTTCTCCTCTGTGATGGTTTAAAGTAAGGGGATGGTGGGGAGAGATTAGGGTGTGTCCTTGAAAGTGTTTGAAGACCCTGGCTTTTAAACCTAATACTGACCATTTTAAAGTGAGAAGTTTTGGGAAGATCTGGAATCATTAAAGTGATAACTGCCATTTACCAAATCCTGTTCAAGGATTATGGGCAGGCTAAGGAATGCTTTGTTTAAAAGGCTCCTTTCCAGTCTCTCTCTCTCTCTCTCTCTCTTTTTCTCTTTCTCCTGTCTCTGTCTCTCTTTTTGCCAGTCCTGGGACTTGAATTCTTGGCCTGGGTGCTCAAGGCTAGTGCTGTGCCACTCAAGCCACAGCTCCCTTCTGGCTTTTTGTTAATTGTAGATAAAAATACCAAGAATTTTTTTCCTGCCTGGGCTGGCTTTGAACCTCCATCTTTATAGAGCTTAGCCTCCTAAGTAGCTAGGATTATAGGTGTGAGCCACCGACATCCAGTCCAGTTTGACTTTTTTACTGCCAGTTGCTGTTTGAGATCACTTAGTGATGAGTAAAATAGGAAAGCTATAATTGAATAGTTTCCTAGGAATAATTTATAAAATTTGCCATTGACTGACTAGTTCAGATGGTAAAACACCTGCGAGGAAGCTTGAGGTCTGAAGTTCAAGCCCAATACCACCAATAAAATAATACAATTTATGAGATGTAATTTAGCAAATGAGATGTGGCAATGAGGGTATGATTCTTTTTGTGAAGGTCTGAGGTGAATCTTTAAATATAGACATAATTCTGTGTGTGTGTGTGTGTGTGTGTGTGTGTGTGTGTGTGTGTGTGTGTGTGTACACACATGCTGGTCATGGGGCTAGAATTTAGGGCTTGGGTGCTGTGTCTGAGCTTATTTCACTCAAGGCTGGCACTCTACCACTTGAGCCCCACCTTTCCTTCTGGACTTTTGTTAATTGGGGAAGAGGCTGTCACTGACTTTCCTGCCTGGGCTAGCTTTGAACCAGGATTCTCAGATCTTGGCCTCCTAATTAGCTAGGATTATGAGCCACCAAAGCCTGGCTGCATAGGTGCTTTTATGTGGCAGTGTTTTTTGTTTTTTGTTTTTGGTGGGTCGTGGGCATGGGCTCTATGTGGCAGTGTTTGGAACAGATTCCTTTAGCCTGATCTTTTCATTATTTGATACAGAAGCAAGGACAGGACTTGCAAGGTTTCTGGATTGCTAGGGTCAAGCCAGACTCTCCCATCTGGTACAAGATTTTCTACTTTATTTAGAAGCCAGCCCATTGCTGTCCTGCGCCTGGTCACCATTATCATTCCATTCTTTTCATCAAAATGTCTTTGCCTCAGATCATAGGTATTTGACCATAAATGTTCCTGAGTATATTGTTTGCCCTTAGGTAACAGAAACAAATAGCAAATAACTTCATTGCCATGAGGAGATTTCATCTTTTAAAGCTGACAACTTAGTGTAAATGCTAAATATAGTTTGCCTGGACCAGCTTTATGTGGTAGCAATGGGAGAAGTGGCTTTAATCTATTTGTAAAAAAATAAAATGAGCTAGGTGTTGGTAGCCCATGTCTGTCATCCCAGCTACTAAGGAGGCTGAGATATGAGGATTACAGTTCAAAGTCAGCCTAGGCAAAGAAGTCCATGAGGCGCATCTTGAGTTAACCAGCAAAAAGCTGCGTGTGAAGCTGTGGCTCAAGAGATAGAGCACCAGTCTTGAGTGAAAAAGCTAAGGGATAGTGTTGTCTTAAATTCATGCCCCATTACCAGCACAAAAGGAAAAAAAGAAAAGGTAGTAAGGTACTCGTGGCTCACACCTGAAATCCTAGCTACTCAGGAGGCTGCGATTCAAAGCCATACTGGCCAGAAAAGTCCGTGAGACTCTTATCTCCAATAAACTACCAAAAAAGCTGGAAGTGGCACTGTGGCTCAAGTGGTAGAGTGTTAGCCTTGAACAAAAGAAGCTCAGGGAGTTCAAGTCCAGGCCCAATCTCTCCACCAACCCCACCACACACACACACACACAAAAGATAATGAGAAGTTGATATCTAGAGTTTAGAATTCACATGATGATAGTTCTTACCATTTGTTTTTGCTGGCTGTAGTAGGATTATGATGATTCAAAAGATGCATTAAATGTCCTATTTTGCATTTTTAAAAAGATTGATGTTATTTGCCAGATCATACTAGATATGGCTATAATTCTATTTGCAAAAATCACCAGAGAATTTACAACTGTTTTGAACTAGGTGTTTAGGTAAAGTATACTGAAAACATCATTCACTAATATCTGAGAAATTACTTTGATAAATTATCATTGTGTGTGTGTGTGTGTGTGTGTGTGCATGTACATGTGCGTGCGCATGCGCACATGCACACACCAGTACAGGGGCTTGAACTCATGGACTGGGTGCTGTCCCTGAACTTTTTCATTCAAGGCTGATGCTCTA